CTTCTTCTTTCTTTCTTTCTTTCTTTTTTTTTTTACAAACTTAAATTGACTACAACAAAATTATAGAATTCAATTCATTTGATATTTTCATATGTTGAATGATTAGGAAATTTGCATTTAACTTATCATCATTTTAATTAGTGAAAATTTTCAGAGAATAAAAACAACATAGTGCTACTTTAACAGTTTGAATGATTGATGGTTTTAATTTCTCATCCTTATCATCTATCTTATCAGCTAGATATTTTATTGGAATCTATGCTTCAATTCAAAATGCAAATGCAGTAAGCCTTACAAATAGATCTGTATTTTTTTCCCTCTTCTTTCTTTCTCTCTCTCTCTCTCTCTCTCTATTTGACAATTGACCTTTGGATATGTTTGGAAAATGGTGATGAGAAAGAAATGAATGAATTCGTTCTTGTCAACTGATACTATTACTTCTTTTAGCAAAATAACATCTGTATTTGAAATTCTTTCTTTCCGTTCCTAAAATTTCAAAAAAGAAAGAAAACTTGAATTTTTTGCTTTCCGGTTCCTGAAATTTTAAAAAAGAAAGAAAAACAAAAGAAACAAAAAAACAATTTGAACACAATTGCAATAACCATCATAATGGAAATACATAAAATACTGCATCCAGTACTAGTTATGGCTGCTATCCTGGGGACAACATAATTAGCCAAGAATAAAGTACAACATCCTGGTCCCATTTGTAACAAAACTGTATGACACATGAAACAAACTCATGGTTCCTGTAACAGAGAAACAGAGAGAGATTTCAGATGATTTTATGCATCTGAAAATTGTAATGTCTAAATTGAACTGCAGCAGAGTGGATACTTTCAATGCACTTGTCATGCATGCAGTATGCAATATTGGATAGCAATACTTGCAAAAAAAAGAAAAAAGGAAAGAAAAAAAATCTACGCCAATAAATGAGGATCAATCAATTCGACACAAGAGTCTGCTTTCAGGTTTGACAACAGTTTGAGCATTCCTTCAATGTCCTTTTGGGGGAGATTTTTTTTTTTTGTCATCTCCCTTTCTCTCTCTTCTCTCCCTCTCTCTCCCTCTGCAGGTTTGAACATTCTTTTATTTCACTGTTCGTATGGAATTTTGAATAAATTAAAAAAATAATAAGTCCGAAAAAAAAAAAACATTACTAAATTACTTTTCAATGGTGATTGTTTTTGTTTCCATTGATTTCATTACAACTGATAACAGACCATAGATCAACATTCCAAAGAACATCTCAAAACTAATATTTTGTTCTTGAACAATCAGTACAGTCCTTATCACTATCAATTTCTTTGGTGTATTTTTTAAGCAATGCCACCAATTTTTTATCCAAACAAAAAAAAAAAGAAATGGAAAAAAGCGTCCCAAAATATCTTTTTCTCCTTCTCGAAGTTCGAGAAATATATGCTAAATTAGTGGCACTTATATTCGGTAATTAGCATCCCAGTAATTAAGTCGTTTTAAAATATCTTGGTAATTAAGTACTCCTTCAAGTTTTACATAATATTCCGCGGGATAGCCATTTTCATCATGACGTAACAGAGTGACTAGCATGGTGGTATATCGCGAATGAATGAGATTACGCTCGGGAAGTCGTAAAGCTCTTGGGAGGTTGGTGTTTTGTAGTAGTTAGTTTGGTAATGTTGATCGTTGAGATTGCACATGGCTGTACTTATTTATTGATTTGATTATGGATTTTATCGAAGTTTAGTAGTCGGAAAATAGGATTAATGTTGTTTTCCGTATCCATAAAGTTTGCAGGATGGAAGAAGATTCAGCGGAGCAACATAATGAAATAGAAATGATGGACGATGAGGACGAGAGGAAAAAAGCAAAAAATGCAAAGAAAAAGGTAATTAAATTTCCAACTTTTACATTGAAATTCAAATTAAGAAATGGAATTTTTACCAACAACTTACGGAAATTGTTTTGCTTAATAAGAAATATTGCCTTGTTTTCCTCAAAAGATTTACTTGAAAATTGGTTTCTATCGTATAAATGAATGGGTAATCCTGAAATTTGTTTGTTTGTTTGTTTCTGTTGGTTTATTAAAACAGTTAAAATTAAGGTTTACATTCCTGGCATAAGTCGACCATTGCGTGAGGATGAAGACTGGGATTTTGATCCTGAAGCATATCACTTATATCACAGTTTTGAAACAAGTAATATTTCTTAATTATGCTTAATTGGACTGATTTCACTTGGAGTTATAGTTATTATTTGATCAGTCCAAGATAACGCAATCGAATGTCAGGACCTGCATGAATACAGTTAGGGAATCGAAACATGGGCTGAATTAAAATGTTGCATATCAATTCATTTTCATAAAAAGAAATGTAAGTTGAAGCTAACAGATGGTCAGGTAAGCAGATGTTTTCCATGTTTGAATCTGTAAAGCTTTTTTTTTTAGGGTGGCCTTGCCTCAGCTTCGACACAATTGCTGATAATCTTGGTGATAATCGTACGGATTTTCCATTAAGCTGTTATTTGGTCGGCGGGACACAAGCTGAGAAAGCAACAAGCAACGAATTAATTGTTATGAAGCTGTCAAATTTGAACCCAATCGATGGTTCGGTTTTGTTTTAAAGTACAAAAAGTTGTTCACTGTAGATTTGCGTTAGCAGACGATATATACGTATCATTTTCCTGAGATTCATTCCGTGCGATATGCATTTGAAAATAATATAAATGCAGACTAATTTAAATGTCGTCATATTTTCTCTGCTGGGTGTCTTTGAACATTTTCCAGTTGAAAAGCACTATAATATGGGTTCTGCCTCAAATTTTGGTGCAGTCCAGTCATTTTCTGAAAAATTGTTGACTTAATAGTTAAAATGATAGTTCTTGTTTTGGTTCAGATGAAGGAGCATCTGATAGCGAAGAAGATCTTGAAGAAAATCCTCAAAACAAAGAACCAAAACTTCATGCTGTAGCTATCCCACATATTGGCATCGTCAATCGTGTAAAAGTACGCATAACTCAGATCTCAGAAGAATGGGAAGAATCATTTCTGAAATGAGATATATTAAAACATCATTTACTACACTCTGATGTCATTTCGTCACTTTATTAATCTCTCTTGTCTACATAAGCAGAAATGTCCGAGAAGATTTTATTCAAGTTACAGAATACAAATCTTGTACATTTACAATATCTTAGGTGACTACTCTTGGTGAAAGCAAAGTGTGTGCTACATTTAGTAGCCAAGGAAAAGTAACATTATGGAATCTCACTCAAGCAATGGAAGAAATATCCTGTGTGGAAGGACGCGACCGCATCATGAAACGCCCGAAAGAGCGGCCTTTATTCTCATTCACTGGTCATCAAAGTGAAGGATATGCTCTGTCATGGTCGCCGATTAAAATGGGTTTGTGTTTCTACGCATGCTCTTTTTTCTTTATTTAGATTCATATCATTTTTACTCTTTTTACTGTTGAATGTTTCTGATCATCCGCTTAAAAATGCAAATCCAAATTCTTGCTTTTCTTTTAAAAAAAACCTAATTTTACAAAAACTGGAAGAAAGATTTAGCGAGACTTTCTTTTAGGCAGGTGTAATTTTTATTTTGCTATCGTTCATTAATGTTTAGAGCAGCAGTGTTTTTTACGTAATTCCTGGGAAAAGCAACATACTGTAGGTAAAAAACTGCTGTTTATCTTTATTTACCAATAAATTTGTTCTTCAGTCTTTGAATTTTTAGGAAGGCTTGCATCAGGTGACCTCAGACATAAAATACATTTGTGGACGATGGCTGAAGGTGGTCGGTGGGTTGTTGATCAGAAACCTCTTACGGAACACATGGATTCCGTGGAAGATCTTTGTTGGTCACCAACAGAAGAAGCAATGCTTGCTTCTTGTTCAGCCGATCATAGCATCAAACTGTGGGATACGAGGTGTTTTGAATATTCCAAAAATACTCTGAAATTCGTTTTCAGGATTCATCTTTTTTATTAACTAGTAGCGAGATATTTCAATATCCTTCCTTCTCAGTATCTCAAACGCATGTTTCACTTTTGTTCTGGAACTTGTCAGAATGAATTTTCTAACGAAATTAATTATGATCTTTGATTATTCAGGTCTGCACTGCCGGATGCCTGTGTTTGCACTATAGAAAATGCTCACGAATCACATGCAAATGTTATATCATGGAACAAATTTGAACCGCTTATAGTAAGCGGGGGTGATGACACGACGTTGAATGTATGGTCACTTAAAACTATGCAGGTCGGTTGAAATGAATACTTCATTATTAATATACTTCCCGGCTTTCATAAAGAATGCTTGTTGCGTATATTTTTTGGTATATGTAAGACCAAATTATATGTGATTCGCTACAAATAGAAAGGTCCACTGATTAAAACCTGAATCAACCTTGTGATATAACATTGGGTATGCTTATTGCGCAGTGATTATCGGTTTATGTGGAATTTCTTACGCCATAGATCTGAAAAAGGGATTTGAATTGGTTCGACGAATATATTAAAAGGATTTCGTTAAGTTTAATATAGATTTATGCATGTATTTCGTGAAAAGCATGGTGATAAACAAATATGCTGAAGATCTGAAGAGGTAGTTGTGGCTGATTATGATTTCCAATTGTTATTCTTGCAGTCACTGTGTATTTCAGTACAAAGAACCTGTTGCTCGGTTCAAACAACACAAAGCACCTATCACCTCCGTAGAATGGTCCCCTCACGATACGACAACAATGATAGCATCTGGAGAAGATAATCAAGTAACGATCTGGGATTTAGCCCTTGAAGCCGATTCGAACGAAAATATTGTGGAAGTACCTCCGCAATTGTTGTTTGTCCATATGGGGCAGAAAGAAGTGAAAGAGGTGAAATTTTTATAACACGAATTCAGATGTAGAAATGTTTTCAAGAAATTCACCATCTCAAATATTTCATTCTCTTGGAAGGTATTTTCCAGTATCATGCAATATATTTGGGAAAAGAAGCAAAAAAGGTAGTCCGCAACCATATTTGACACGAAAGAGAACCAGAAATAAATTAGAAAGTTTTTTTCCGAAAAACCAGACTGGAAACCCCCGACATCCGCATCTTTCAATGCAGTTTTTACTGCTCCATTTTATTGGTAACTAATAAAATCCCGATTCAGGTGCACTGGCATAATCAGATTCCGGGTTTTGTGGCCACAACGGCATTATCTGGCTTCAACGTGTTCAAACCGATAAATTTATGACTTACCCTTTGGATACGGTCATCTTACATAGTGTTATTTGTACTTTTTTTTATTGGTTCGATTCTCTTCGTAATATGTAAAGATTCAGTGATTATCCAGTAGTTTCAAAAAGACTTATGGATGGATTGAATCAATTCCAATTTTGTTATGAATAGTCTTGGTTAAATAAGGTTTGCTGGTGTATTAGATGGAATGTTTGGATGATATTAACTTCCTTTTAATGTCCCGCTTTTCTGAGCGAAAAAAATGGAACGTTGTTTAG